GAGTCGCTCGTATCCGGCGCTCGTGAGCACGATTTCCAGATATAATGGCCGTCAGCCAATGCTCTCAATCAATGTTGTGTAAGGTACGATGACGTACCCAAACAGTGTCGCATCGAGAAGCATATTTACTAAACGGAGAACTTGTGTTGTCTAGAGCGGTCTTTTCCACTTAACACACTCCAGGGTGGCCGGTTGGTTACCCTTCATGACCTTTGGGTCAAATGAGGTCAGACAAGATCGAACTCCTGGCTAGTCTCCAAAGTGCCTCACAGAACCCAGATACCTGTTTTAAGCAAAAGGTCACACGCCCAGTTAAGATCATTGATCTTTTTAACCTTTCGAAGGTAATGGTGATCAAAATCATTCAAGACTGCTTTAAGTTGTGGATTTGAATAACCGACAAAGATTACGGTAGGCAGTATGTTCCAGAAAGCGAAATGTTGATCTAGGTCATTTTAGGTAAGTGACTTACTTTGTATCTCTGCATAATGTGGTTTCTGTCATCAATAAATTAAAAATGAGCACCAGAAACTATCCCATACACCAAGCCCTAGAGTAACAAAACAGGTTGGCTTTGACCTTTGTCTGACCTTCATGCCTGGTCATAGGTCAATGGAATTTGTTCATTCAATTATTGTGTTGCCTAAGAAAGTATCTCAAAGATGTATGGGTCGTCTAACACTCGGTTGTTGCATCGGAATGAACGTTTGCATAGAAATTGACTTCGCTAAATTCACGGCTTGGCTTTGACCTACCGTAGGTCAGCGACTTTACTATGTACATTTCAGTTTCTGATACCAAACGATCCGCTATTCAATGGTCTACAGCTATGCAAAATTTAGCGCGGCTATGCCTCGCCATTCAGAAATTATTCTGAAAAACTTTCGCGGTGCGTCAAATTGACCCTCACCCGAGTTAAGTATTGACCCTGTCAAAATTATACTTACAGTTATAAGTAAGCTTGTTTCATAATATCTGATGCTTGCTTTAATATGATCAGATGTGAAACATTCCTTTTAATTAATGTCGAGCAAGCTGTGCAAGTTGCAATCGCGGATCACGTTTGGTACCAAGTAATATATGAAGTTAAATATGATTGCTGGCTGGTACCAAAATAACGCCTGTAGTCTAATAACTCAGAATAGTGTCATAACCGGGCATAATAATAAAAGTAAGCTATATTACTGCACTCATTTCACTCATTCACTCATCATGAAATGACGGATGCAAATGCAAGTACACCATGAGAAGTGCCAAAACACGAGAACATAACGACATTTGGCACAACAAATACTTCAGTACCGCCATCTCGCGGCAAGTTTGAAGTAGTACAGGTGAGCGCCAGGGCCGCAGTTTGGCACGGCTAGTTTTACAGTGCTTCAACGTCATGGAAGCGCTCCATGACGCCACTTGGCAATGACGTATTGAGGAGCATATGTATTAGAGAAAATGTGTCGTCTAGGGCGGTCTTTTTCACGAAAAGGATACCAATGGCGAAAAGTGAGTTTACTTTATTATCTGTGATGCGCGCCGTATATATTCATATATGGAACATTTCTGATGATCATTCCTATTTGGAACTGTTAATATTTGTACCGCATGTTTGTTTATATTTGATCTTTGTCCAGTGTCCCACGTATTGCTTTGCTTCAATACCTTCTAGCATGGAACACTTCTATTGATTATTCCTGTTGGGAACTGCTGATCTCTGTCCTTGTTTGCTTGTACTTGATCTCCGTCCAGTGCCTCACGTATCAACTTTCAGTGCAACCCCACGCCCATGTCACCAGCAGGCCGCTTGGACCCGTCATCATGCAAGCCGGTGGCTCCTCCGTTTCGTCTGTGCGCTCCCCCCCCCCCCCCCCCCCCGTCAGCTGACCGGTGTCTCTTTTCGTACAGGATCGCTGCCCAGACACGACTGGCCTTTTCACCGCATGCCAGTTCATTCCCGGAGTCAGCTGCCTGCGTCAGGACGAATGCACGGACGGCAAACTGTGCTGTCCTTATGGCTGCGGATCACGCTGTGTAAATCCCGTACTGGAAGCTTCTAGTACCGTACCGTACTAGAAGCTGCACAAGTTGAACGGCCCGTGGGCTGCACGATGGAACTACTCGGATGTTCTCGTCATAACTTTGAATTCTGTGCACGTTTTCTGGCGGCCTTTTCAGGCCAGTTTTGAAGGAATCTCCACGTGAAGGCTTCAAGACCTACTACAAAGGATAAGCGAAATATACATGTGTTCTTCAGAAATATTGAACCAAGTGTTTTCAGGAGCGGCAAAATGTTGGAGCAGGATGATGAACTGTAATGCGGGTAGGAAATCAATGCAGATTACAGCATGAAAGGCAAACAAATTCATAATCCGTAGTCAAACGTTGTAACAGATTGCAAATTAGGCGGATGTTGACCCCAAGCATTTGAAGGTTTCGTAAATTGGTCTTAACCGTCGTAGAATTTGGCAGCATTGCAGCTGCTGTCACATTTATTGTTCCCGTCTTCCGAAAAATTGCTTGCTGGTCGTGTTGGGTTGCTAAGATGCGATGCCATGGAATCTTGCACGTTTTGCAGCAGATTCCATATTTGGTCTATGCAATGGCAATAAATTGCATGCGTCCGGGAATTATGCTAGAGTCATAGCAATGATGCCCTAAATAAGTTGCAGCATGCTGAGAGGGCATATCTAAGGGAAGGTGTGATATCATGCCTCCCCCTCTGCCCCGCTCAGCTTCATTTTTCTGTTAAATTGTCCTTGTTAGGTACGTGCAGCTTGTTATCGATACGTTGAACACAAGTAATAGATAGCATACACAAACGCTTCGCTGCAAAACCCGAGAATCACAGGATATCAAATGATGCCCCAACGCAGCATCCTCAACTAGTGGTTCAGATAACTGGTAACAGATCAATTGCACTAGCATAACCATGTAAGCAATCACCACAATAAGCACCGACTATCAGTGCTACATCAGCCTGGCATTCCACGACACACTACGGTCAAGGCCACCATTGTATATATATATATATATATATATATATATATATATATATATATATATATATAATGGGTGCAAATATCAGGTCAGGCACTGATGTTGGGGAGCATATTGACTGCCAGGTTAACATGCTCCTCAACTTGCCTGCGGACACAAGGATTCCCCTTTGGAAATTCCGATGTCTGCAGCTTTGTCAATAAACACAAACACAAACCACGCGATCCAGCACCTCCACTTCACGCCAGGAGCCGACCTCAACAACACTCAATCCGGCGGGGCACACACCGCGCCTGCCGACCACAGCCTCCACCGCGCTGGCCCAGCAGCCCGGGCGTCTCTTCAGGTCATCTCCGTCTCGGGTAGGCTGTCGTAGCGGCGGTGTACGGCGCGCACGGTCACGCCGTCCAGCTCCGCGATCCGACCCATCACCAGCTGCGCGGCGTCCTTCACCTCGTTGTAGCGGTGCAGGGCGTCGATGTAGAGGGGCAGCTGCTCGGCGCGGCAGCCGGCCGCCTCCAGCCTGGCGATCTCGGCGTCCGCCGCCACCAGCGCAGCGCTAAGCTCTGGGGAGCGGTCGGCGGCGTCACGCATGGAGCTCAGCTCAGGAGAGCGGCCGGCGGCGTCACGCGCGGCCAAACACGTCTCACTGGCGTCAGAGATCGTAGCGGTGGCTCGAAGGGCCGGAGAGGCCCCGCAACAGTCGGAGGCCGTCGCCACTGATGCCCTGGCGTCTGGGGTCACACGCGTCGGTGTCAGGCAGGACGACGTGGCGGCGAGGGCGGGAACGGCCGGCGAGTCGGCTGTGACGTCAGCAGCGGGTGAGGCGACGATAGATTCCGACAATGGTGCCGGTCCCTCAGAGTGGGCCGCTGCCGGTGGTGGGGTAGTCCGGGCTGCGATCAGCGGAGAGCGGAATGGCTGCCGGAGGCGAGCCCCACTCAGAGGGGTCCGGAAACGAGCACGCTGCCTGCCCAATGGCGTGCTGCTCATTTTGGTAGTTTGTCTGCAAACAAAAATGGTGGCAAATTCAATGATTCAGCAAGGTACAACCCATGTGGATTTCCTGCAAACTGACATGTGAAATGAAAAAAAGCAGAGAACAGTTCATATTGAGTCTAGTGTGGAGATAGCCCAGCACCCTAATAGTTCAAAGTAAAACACCATGTCATAGCAGCAGTTTGGTCAGAAATGACATTTTCTAGTTGTTTTTTTTTTGCCTTGTGTGCTTTGGTCTTAACCAGCCTGCAGAGACAAGAGAGAACATGCAATTTTCCTCCTCACTTTTTCAAACATATCCTGCCTATGTCACATGTTGTTCCAGTGGAGGATATTGATACTCTTCATGTTATGAAAGAGATCAAAATGTACTCATGTTTTTTCCTTAGGACATCCTAGTTTTCCTTATGGTATCGAACCACAAACATAGATGACAGAAGAGCTCAAAAAGCAGGCAAAAATTCACTGCTAGGTGATGTGCTGGCATTTCTTACTGTTAACATGTGTTGTGGGTCACATAATATCCCAAAAGCAGACACCCTTAATGGTTTATGTTTACTGTAAGAGTACTACAAACTTCTTTGTGGCTTCAATATAATCAGTGACTCATCTAATTGTCTGTGATACACAACAACATGTATTGCCTCTAATTACATCATATGAACACAAAATTAAAAGCTTGAATGGCATACGATCAGCAATAACTACCCTATAGTGTATCTGAACAGCACACTTCAGTTGGCCAAGATAGTTACTTTTGGAAATTGTATTTCATTTGACCAACCTGCAGCTTAGCACTGGCCCCGAAAACACGGCATGCTTGGCACTTGTGGATTCTCTTCTCTTTCCTAATGGTGTCGAGCATCCAGCTGCTCTGCGTTCTGGCCAGACACTTCTTAAAATAACGCAAGGACGATTGCGGCTCGAGGCTCGATAGCTTCCATCCTGCTATGCCCGTGCAGTGTCCAGATTCGTCATGAGCGCCTTCGGCGCATCGATATTCAGTAGGTATGTTCGAAGTATTATACGCTAACATTCATGATCGACTTATATGCGCCAGCAAGTCTTCTAAAGAATGCTATGATATAAATATGAAGTTTATGTAAATCTGAACTCATTTGATTTATACCAGATATCAAAATTATACAATGCTCGTCAAAAACCGAGTGGCGTGCATGTGTGCCGAATGTAGCCAAAATTTGTACAGTAGTGGTGCAGGTAATACAAAACCAAATTACGGCAAAATCCTTACTTCTTGGTTGATATTTCCCCAGTGCGCTGTTTTCGCATGGCTTTGGGTGGAGAAAGCGGCTTATTTTAAAAAGAAGTTGGCTCTTTTTACAGCTGTGAATGATTCTAGGGCTACTACTCCCCACAATTAGGTAAGTAGGGAGCGTCCAAAGCCCTGTAACAACAGCGGGAGCAGCAGTGACGAATGCAAAGGAGGCGACGACGGTGCGTGCCCCCCCCCCCCCCCCCCCCGGCTCAGATTGCCAAAAATTGTGCGTCACACTGTAGATGCTACATGCTATGTATATACCTCTTCAAGGTATCACACAATTTCAGAGCATGTATACTGTAAACTTGAGCACTCAGAGTTTAATGCATGATCACCATCAGGTCCAGGTCATAGAAAGCCAATGCTTCATGGAGTTCTAGCATTGTGATAGTAATGTGGGGTAAAAATAATCTGCGAACAGTTAACCACCAAATTTTTATTGTTCAGCATAATTTAGCCCAACCTTAGTGTGGTGCGCTCTAGTATGAGGGTTGGCATACTGATGTGATGGTGTCTGGCAAAATTGATGGATTTTATAAACTGCTCATGGCTGCCTTGCATGCTGTTATATATATATATATATATATATATATATATATATATATATATATATATATATATATATATATATATATATATATATACATATATATATATATATGTAAATATCTATATCTATATATCTATATGGGACAGTTATAAATAGCAATGTGAGTGATAAAGGATTGATTTATCATAAGTGAAGAAGAAATGAAGCTGTCACTGCTAGGTGCCCCATAACCATAGCAGTTGGCACATCCAAAACACTAATCACTTCCACAAACCGTCGCTGTCCAATGGTATGATACAGCATGTGGTTGCTAACTGATTGGCTGGGCGTGTCTATTGTCAGATAGGAGGAATGAATATAATACAGCAAAGACAGCATCAGCTTGTGTTGTCACATTCAATCACATCTGTGCACCACACATGCAGCATCAAATAGCATGTCAACAGGACTAGACCATATTTTATGTCATATGTAGTGGTATATCATGTACTTTATCAATTGCTGTAAAAATGCAAACCTCTGAATAGTAGCAAACATTGAAATTCCTCAAAACAGAACAATAATTCATCATGTTAGACATAGATATTCAGCATGTCACGATGATCAGACCACCATTGGTCAATGCCTGGTGCTGCTTGCTTGGTAAGTAAGCAACAATGCTACCTTTCTTCCATCAGATCCAGTACTTAATAATCACTTCTGGAGTTCTTGTAGTTTGTGCTCATTTTTAAAGCTTCCTTGTAAAAATGATTCATGCAAGTTGTTCAGTGTATTAGTGAGAAACATTAGTCACAGATAAGACAGTGGTATTAGCCTTGTTGCTCAGAAAAACCAGGAGAATAGAAATTTAGTTAGGCTGATATTTCAGCAACACATCTTTCTCAAAACAAGAGTAGAAGTGAAGTCAGAACAGCAGAAGTCTGCTGATATTGTTTTGAGATTGGCATGTTGCCAAAATACCAACCTAACCGTATTTCCATTCTGCTGGTGTTTCCGAGGAATGAGGTTAATGCTGTTGGTTTGTCTATGTAAAAATGATTTATGCACATGGAACTTTGCTTATGGAACTGTGCACCGGCTAACTTGCGTATGGTACTTGAGCTATTGGCAGGGCAGTTTGTTAATTTATGTGTGTGGTATAGGATGATCATGATGGTGGTGGTTTGGTCTTTCTTGTGGTTTTCTTGTGTATTTTTTCATGATTGCATGTTTTCACTTGCTTTTGCATTCACAGTTGCAACACTATTCTTAAGCAATTTGATTCCTAGCCCGGTGTCGGGGGAGGGGTTTAGCGGCCGACCGAACCTGTTGACAACCCCATGCTTTGTGCCTATGCTGCTGATCATCATGCAATTTTCACCAATCGATGTGCCATAGTCGTTATCTATTTTTTCCATGACATGATGACCTTATGTCAGGTCAGAGGTCGCCAAAAATACGTAGTCACCTAAATGGGCTGCGGATAATCCTATGCCCCGAGCCTGTGGCATCAAGCTTTCATCAATCGGTGTGCTATAGTCAATATCCTATCCTTTCCAGAATATGGTGACCTTGGGTCAAGTCAGAGGTCACCAAAAATGCCTGAGACCACCAAAAACAAAAAGGTTACCATGTTCTGGAAAAGACAGATTGTTGACCATGGCGCATCGATTGGTAAAGATTGCCGATCAGTTCCAAAGGCTGGGAGCATGGAGATGTCTGCAAGCCAGCTTGAGGTGGTTTCGGCCGTTTTTGTGATCTTTGACTTAACCAAATGACACCGTGGTCTGGGAAGGGTAGGTTATCGACTATGGCACATCGATCGGTAAAGTATGGGTGCCGATCGTTATCACAGGCTCGGAGTATTGGTTGTCTGCAAAAAAATTTCAAAATAATTACAATATGTTGATAGATGTCTGGTATACAAGCTCGTAGTTGATTATTGCGACATATGTGCAACGAATAGTATGGTTACTGGCCACAGCATACTCTCCAAGTTGAGATTGGGTGCCGGTTTCATTCTTAAGAAGCAGTACATATAAGACAGGGAATTAATAGTTTCTAAACATGCACTGATTGCTATAATGTGTGAAAGGATGTAGCATGGGCCTGATCCACATTCATTGCAGGTGCTGCCATGTTTCCAGAGGTTGCCAACTTCTTGCAACTGGATCTATCTCAGAGCCAGCTGCTGAGCATCAGTGAGCAATCCCCAGGAGAAGCAAGCTTTGTGCTGTGTCATCTGATCAATACAGCACTGAGGGAGGAGATCCCAGTATGTGTCTTCGCACTGGACAAGCCTCCCTCCCATTATCGCCACATGTGCGGCAAGTGCGGCGGTAGCGTGCGCCAAGCGGAGAGCACTGGCAGTCTAACGTTTGTCGACGGCGCCGAGATGGCGCTGCAGGTGCTGCGTTCCGAGTGTGGTCCGCCCGCCGAGCGAGAGCGCACGCTGCGGCTGAAGGCGCTGTTCGAGCAGCTGGTGGAGGTGGCGGGCGTGCGGCCCGGCCGCGGCCTGCTGCTGCTGGACGGCCTGTCGCCGCTGCTTGGGCTGGGCGCCTCCGTGTCGGAGGTGCTGCTGCTGGTGCACCACCTGCTGGCCTGGAGCCGACGACGCGGCGGCCCGATGGTCACGCTGACGGCGCTGGACGCCGCTGACGAGGAGCGCAGCCGGCTGGCAGCGGCCGTCGACCGGCTGGCGCGCGTCACGCTGGCCGTGCGCGGCCTGGAGTCGGGACACTGCCCTGAGGTCACGGGTCAGCTGGAGGTGCGCCGTGGGGGCGCCGCCCCCGAACTGCAGCAGTTCAAGGCAGAGGACAGGAACGCCAGGGTGTTCGCGCCGGGAACGTCGCGGGCGGTGTTGTGAAGGCATCGTGTGGACGCATGTGAAGCACCACCAGGTGTCGCTGTTGTGCTTCAGTTTTCCGATGCGTCACTGGTGGGTCTTACGAGAGGTCGTGAGATGAAGGGTTGGACCGTTTGTCAAGTGGGATGGGCTGACGTGGTCCCCTGTATGGCCGGGCCAAAGTGCACTGGTCCTGCTCGCCTGGTAAATCTTCATGCTTTGTTATAAACTCGTAGGGTTTTACCAGAATTTTGCGGGATTTTCGTAGCATGTTCTTCACCTGCATGTCCTATGCAATGAAGCGTCGCAGCAGACATGTTGAGTTCTGGCGTCCATGCAGCAGGTTATTCGGTAAATAGGTCATGTTTCAGGGGCATTTTGCGCTTGAAGCAAGCCGCACAGCTGCTGTCTGTTAATGTATTTGGCATCTCAAAATATATATTTGTACAATATTCCCAGTGAAGCACAACTTGAAGCAGGTCCAGACATACTGCATTCATTTCCCGATGCGGCTATTGAGTCGCCAATGACGTACCATTTGCAACGCTACAAGTGTCCTATAACTAAGGAAAACACTGAAGTAGTCGCTAGGTGCCTAAAGAGGTCTATGGCGGCGTGAGTTTGGAATAGATGAACGCGCATCGTCGTGTTTCTCTTAATGAAGGTATCCAAGTTCTAATCGTGGGAGCATACAACGTACTGCCTTCATACAACGTTACGTGTAACGTAGTTCGCATGTGAAAAGGAACAACACCATGTGCTAAGTAGTAAACACTGTGACTATCTCCTTCTTGTGCTCTGCTGATTTTGGACGCAATCAGTCAATTGGAATGATAAATTTCAATACAATTAAATTGGCAACGAAATGTCACAAAAGGCTACACAACCACATAAGGACTACGTTCCATATCAGGCGTGGAGTACGAACGTACGGCAATCTGTAGTATGGTGTTCCTGTAAGTGAGCAGCTAAGATAAGCTGACATACTTAACTTTGTCCGTGACAGTCTTCAATTGCAGTACACTTAAAAACCTCCTGGTCTCAAAGAGAATGTTGAGGTTTCAGCCTAGGTCGCGCCTGGTAAACAAAATGAACAGCACAAACGGAATAAAACGTGGGAGAAACCACGGGCGTGCAAGCGGTGTCTCCACGGAGAGACCACTAACTGGCGGGGCAGCCCAGTTGCAGCAGAATCGGTGCCGTCGCGCGGGCCAGTAGCCCGGCTGGCGGCGGTGCGGGTCATTTGGGACAGACCACCAGCGCGGGCATGCCCTCGGGCGCGTCTGCGTCGGCCGAGTCCATGTCGAGCACCCAGCTGATGGAGTCGGCCTTGCGCAGGACGGCGCGCACGTGCGCCGGCGCCGGCGGCGAGAGCGACTGGCGCGCGGGCTGGGGCTGGGCCGGCCCGCCGCCACGTCTGCCGAGGCGGGAACGGGGCGTCAGCGCCAGCCGGCCGGTGAGGAGGTCGCGAGGGGAGAAGGCGAGGCGCCGAATGGCTCACGCCAGACGATCTCCCGTGAGAACCTATGTACTCCACGAGCGTCAGCTGACCTGGTAATTTATGCAAATACTACATTCATTAGGAGTAGCTGCAATGTTCCGATTTCTGCAGTTGAGCGGAGCAGGAGCGGGGTGCGGTGAGGTGCCCCTGAGTGGTCTGAGGGCTGACCTGAGCCCCGTGGCGGCGACCGCGAGGCGCGGCTTACCTGGAGACGCGCGGCGACTCGCTGCCGGCTCGGACCAGCGGCGGCGGGCCGGGGCAGGACCGGGAGCTGTTCGAACGAGTCCGAACGCCTGCCAGTGAGCATGATGTCAGACCGGAGCCAAGACGACGGTGTTTCACCGGGGCTCACCATGCCATCAGGGCTTTACTATGACTCAGCTACTGAGGCCGAGTGGCGGCACTTACCTCTTACTGTGGTAGGCAGAGCAGACAACGCGGGGAATCGAACCACTGCACCTCTGTTTTCACGGACACGCAGCCTAACCACTCTACTGCTGGTACCGCGGGCGCGCGGTGTAACGACACAGAGCACTGGAACGGTTGTTATAAGATGACAAGCCGTTGTAGTGGTTGTTCCCCGGGCTGAAACATTCCAAATATGCTAATCTCGTATCGCCCGTCATACGCCTCTGGGCTTTGAATGAGAATAAACACAAGTCCAGTCAGGCGAGATAAAGTGGCCAAGATCGCACGCGATTATTGACCATCGCCTGGTCCATAATGATTTCGTGACCTTCCCGTGGTCGCCTGAGCCTAGACATACCTGCCGCCTTCCAGACGTCGGATATGTTGCGGAGTTTGTACTGCAGCTGTTCCTTCTCCGACGACAGTCGCATTATTGTCAGCTTGTCGCGATCTTGGCACTCTTTTAGCTTTTTGTTTTCGGCAGAAAGATCGCTGGAAGGGATCGGTCTTTCAGAGCAGGGCATGGCCACTGATGAACGTAAGCACAATTTGATTAAGCTCCAACTGCTAGAGACAGCCGAATAGCCGACTTCCTACCGACGGCTCACGAGTATGTGTTCGAGGCTGGTAACTCACCCCAACTCCTGTGCCCGCTGACTGAGGGACGCGGCGAGTTCGGCGACCCTGGAGTCCAGCCTGGCGGCCTTTTCCTGGAGCCGGGCGCTGTCGGCCCTCTCCAGTTCCAGCCGGCGCTGACAGGCGCGCATCTCCTCTGCCTGCTGCCAGCGCAGCTCCAGCACCGCCTGCAGTGAGTTCACCTCTGCCTCCAGCTCCGACGCCCGGCTGGTCAGCTCCTGCGGGGGGGGGGGGATGCGGCGTGTGACCGCATGCGCAGCAACTCACGTAACGATGGAGAGGTCGTGAACATGGCAGCAGTGGCGCCAACATGAACGCTCATGGTTCACATGAGGATAATTATCAGTGAAGGAACCAACGGGGCTCTATCATTTCACGTGAAGCTTTCATTGTTAAAACCGCTCACCGTTTCGCATCCCTGCAAACCCTTGCCGTCACCTGAATCTGGGCTTGGCCGGCTTTGGCCGCCGCCTCCTGTAGTTTTGAGCGCCGCCGAAGCTCTCGGTTCTCTGTCCCCAGTAGTGTCAGCTGATGCTGAAGATCCTGGTCCCTCTGCCGGCGATCCCGCTCTGTCTCGGTCAGCTGGCGCTGCCACCGCGCCGTGGCCGAGGCCAGGGTGTCCTGGTGCTGCTGACTCAGCTCCTTCAGGTGCTGGCAGTACAGCTCCCGCTGATGCAGCAGATCCTGGTGGAGAAGGTGCTGCTCCTCGTGCCAGGCTGCGCGCACCTCCTCCAGCTCCTGACGGCAGGCCTCCAACTCCCGAGCGAGGTCTGCAGACTGATCTTGGACTGGTCTTGCGGACTGGTCACGAGCGGACCCAGCTGTGTAATCCTCAAAGGAGCTATCTGTTGTCAGCCCCTGAGCGGGGCTGGCAATCTGCCCATCAGCTGTGTCAGCAGTCTGTTCCTGACTGGAATCGGCAATCTGCCCCTGAGCCCTGTCCGCGGTCTGCTCCTGGGTCGAGCCGGTAGTCCGCTCCTGAGTGGAGCCGGTAGTCTGCTGCCGAGCACCGTCGATAGTCCGCTCTTGAGTGGAGCTGGTAGTCCGCTCCTGAGTGGAGCCGGTAGCCTGCTGCTGAGTGGAGCCGGTAGTCCGCTCCTGAGTAGAGCCGATAGTCTGCTCCTGAGTGGAGGCGGTAGTCTGCTCCTGAACGGAGTCGTCAGTCCGATCCTGTGTAGAGCCGGTCGTCTGTTGCTGAGCATGGTCGATAGTCCGCTCCTGAGTGGAGCCGGTAGTCTGCTCCTGAGTGGAGCCGATGGTCTGCTCCTGAGCGAAGTCAGCGGTTCGCCGCTGGAGCATCGGATGGCTCTGGTTGCTCGACTGCAGCCTGTCCGACTGCCGGCTTTGCAGAGCTTCCTGCACCCTTCGCTGATTAGCGGAGGCCTCGTCTGAAAAGGCATGGCTGAAGTTGAGATGCCGATCACAGGGAGCCCCAGCTGACCAGTAACGCGAGACACATGATTGTTATTTGTCATATTTGTAATTGTAATTGTAACTGCCATCAAGGAGGCTCTTCTTGGCCAACGGCGCGAGACACATGACTGTTATTTTGCGCCAGTGCAACCTAATTGCGCCTCAGCGCCTAAGATGGCACCTGTGCCCAGGATTCAGCTGATATCGCATAGCTTATCGCGTGTAACGCCTGTCCCAGCCATGCACCGCATGCAGCTCAATGTTTGTTTTTCACCTTACCGAGTGACTGCTGAATCTCCAAACTACGGTATTTTAGTGTTTTCACTTCATCTGCTAGCTGCGCAGGCGCGCACTGCAACAGAAACGATGTGAGATGTAATGTTATGTGGAATGGTGCATACAGCTCATTTTCAGCGTGTTGGGTTGGATAATACTCATTTGCCAGCTAGAATGTACGTCCACGCCTATATCGCACCTCGACGAAAGAGACAAACGAACAGTCGAAGTCCAGGCCAGCGCATGCGGCAGCCAAAAAAGACATACCTTTGTCGGCATAAAGGATCGGAGGGTGCAACGAAAGCAAGTCTGCATTGCACAATTTTGCTAACACTTATTAAAAACGTATTTTTTTCTTAACTTAAACAAGCACTGAAGAAAGGAAAACTTTGGTGGAAGTACTGAACGTTCTTAGGTACGGGCCACAGCTCACAGCGTTCACGATGTTCAGTTATCGTCAGCCAACGCGTTAACTACCTTTTAACTACCTTTTTCGCATTAGCTTATCACTAATTACCTTACGTAACGTCGCTAACTACCTTTCTGTGGAAGAAGTTCACCGCAACTAGGGCGGCCTCAAAGCCTCGAGCCGCCCTGTGCATGCTGACCCGGGCGGTCCTCAGCTCGTGCTGGCGCCGCGCCAGCTCCGCCTCGAGACGTGCGACCTTGACATCATGTCGACCAGCTTCCGCGCCGTGTGCTCTGCCAGCCGCAGCACTGGCACCTGGGACGTGAAAGTTGCGGCTGATGCGTGAGAACAATCCCGCTCGAATAACCCCGAGCACGCATTGGCCCCGCAAGGAGGCGTAAGTGCGAGCGAAGCGACACTAACCGCAAACGATAACGAGACGCATAAATTCCGGCCAAGTGGAGCGTTGGGAGCGTTAGCGTCTCTTCGTGAGTGTTGAGCCATCCCGACCTGGTTAGCGTGTGAACGCAGCACCGGTATGCGGAGGTGACAGATACCGACGTGTTACGTTACACTGCGCACCGGAAGAAACGTTGCGTTGCCGGCTTGTTCGGATGCCTGGCTCATTCCGGTATTGTTTGGTTGTTCGTCCGGGATTCCGAGAGTGAAGGGCGGGGGACCGGGGGTGCCAGGCGCACGTAATAACGTGTAGGGCGGCCCGCGTGGGCGTAGCCATCACGGGGGACGGTGTAGTCTGGACCCCACCAACGTTTAGGACCGATTCCGAGAGTGAAGGGCCTGGGACCGGGGTGCCAGGCGCACGTAATAGCGTGTAGGGAGGCACGCCTGGGCGTAACCATCACGGGGGACGGTGCAGTCTGGACCCCACCAACGTTTGGACCGATTCCGAGAGTGAAGGGCGGAGAACCGGGGGTGCCAGGCACACGTAATAACGTGTAGGGAGGCACGCCTGGGCGTAACCATCATGGGGAGAGGGTGCTCTGGATCCCACTAACGTTTGGACGGATTTAGCTATTTTTGTTTGTTGACCATATAGAGTGGTACCAAAACAGAACTGGATTCCATTAGCGATTTATGCGTGGTTACGTTCATGGCTTCTGTCAATGCATGCTCTCCTGTCAATGTGAGTCTATATCAGGTTTTCTAAGCCATTACACACATGATCGGCTGCACATCCTCGACTACTGAGACACTGAATAGGGAATTACACCACGCTCGTAGGGGGAGACCGGGTGATGCCTTTACATAGGTGAAAATGCTACAGTGCCTTTGAAAAACTGTGATGTTTGGTTGCAGGCAAAAGGGCGGTCGTACTGTACGCAGTCAGTTCATAAGTGCCCCATCCCAGTTTTAGAGCGCTGTCGCGGCTACTGTAGTTGAAACAACTAAAAAAGACAACAAAACAAAACAAAAACAAGCGGTATGTTTTAGGCCTCCCGTACCTCACACCTGTTCTGCTTAGAGCAGTCCGTGCCTGACCCGTCCAGTAAGGTCCTCCCAGCGCCTGTCCTTCCCAATGAAGTCCGTACCCGACCCGCCCAGCACGGTCCGTGCCTGTCCTGCCTAGCGTAGTCCGTGCCCGACCCTTTTCGTACATGCGTTTCTAGGCAACCCATGTAAACAACGTGAGGAATAGTGCGGACCGATTCCGGCTGGTTCGTCATATTTCACCACATTTCCGGCGCACAAGTTACGTATTGAAAACGCGTTTCTATCCCCTAGGTTGGACTTTGGGGGTGCTGGTAGTGTAGTGGTTAAGGCGTTTGCGTTAACCACTGCGCGTCTGGGAAACCAGAGGTACGGGGTTCTGTTCCCCGCGTTGCCCGCCCTTCCTGCCAGGGTGAGAGGCAAGCGACGCCTTATAGCCTCAGCAGCTGAGTGCGTCGTAAAGCCCCAATCACACACACACCCGTCTAGCACGGCCCGTACTTGTCCCCAGCGTAGGCCGTCTCCGTTCCATCCAGCTCGGTCCGCACATGTGCTGTCCAGCGTGGTCCATACCTGTGCTGTCCAGTGTGGTCCATACCTGTGCGGTCGGATGGCCCGAGCACCAGGCGCACGTCGAGGCGGCTGCTCTCCATGCCCCGGCGCGGTCACGTGACGCCCCTCTGCCAGCGCCTCTCCGACTGGCAGCCCCATCCCGGCCCGCGCCCCTGACTCCCGTCAGCCGAGGTCAGTGTCAAGCGGCGCCTGGCGCCCGGCGCGCGTCCGCTCGCACGGCGGTCGGCCCGAGGGAGCCGGAGCGCGTTCGATGGCGACGTGCGGTCAGCTGAGTGGAGGGGTCACGGCGGCTTCTGACCTCGACAAACAAGATCGGTGGATCGGGACGCCCGATGAGCGCTTTGTGGCAGTCGTGTTGAGTTAGAGTAACATTACTCGGTCAAAATATTACGCGTTTTTAACAAGCGGGTACGGGTTGGTGTTATAATACGCATGAGAGTTGATGGTATCCATCTCGATTATCCGGTCAAAATTAATGTTGTTCTCATTAAATTAACGGCGGGTATCTCTCATAGCAGTTGCATGCAAAGCCAGACGAGCTATCAAGAAGTTGAGGCCAACCTGCCATTGACGGAAGCGGGGTGCTTGAAGGGCGACAGCGGTGTGACCCGAGCTGCAGCAGGACCGCCGCCGGCTCGAACCGCGGCCATCCTTCAGCGGCCGAGGCCGGCGGTGGGAAGCGGCCGTCACCGGCGAAGCCTGACACCGCCGCGAGGTGACCCGGGGTCGCACGAGAGGTGGCCGGCCCGGCGTCCGGGTCACGGCCCGCTCAGCAGACGCCGACGAGCCGCAGCCATTGGCCCGGACGCGAGGTCAGTTTTTTTCGGGGGCTATGCGCTCACCCAGTGCAGAGCATGATGCATAGCCAAGGCTGCTCTACCCCTTACAGAGTTGCACCACAATGGATGATGGCATGCACGACGGTATTGTCCAAAGGTTTTATGAATTTCAGTCGACGCCACTTTGAGAACACAAGGTGGTACTGCTTTGATTTCTTAAGCATAAACGACTGAGACGATAATGGGTGCATTTTTACGACCCAGTGAGCCGCGTTCCTACTGCTGCCTTGGCGATCGGACCGACCTGGCTCTGCACGGAGTGGAGCCAACTGGCATCATGCTTTTAGTGTGAAACAAACCGAGACGATGCTTTAAAAAGTAACCCTGTGGTAAGCTGTCGTTTGCCCCCGTTCTCTCTGTCATTCAGGACGTGAATATTCTCAAAGCCATCCCATACGTTACCGCATGCTGCGCGTCCAGATGGGCGTATTTGTCCGGTTCTGATCTCCCCAAGCGTGCTAGGGGGTGCGACGTCGCAATTGCAAACGTGTTTTGCTTATGTGTAGTAAAAGGCTGCCAGGAGATGCTGACGAGATGCTTCCTCGGCATAAATGAGCCAGTATTATCTGCATTAAACAGGTTCGAGGTTCCCCAGCACGCTTCAACTAATGGCTCGCCCCTCACAGTCTCGATGGGGATCCCTGGAGCACACAAAGCTGCCAGTTGACAAGATGCCGGCTGCTGTCGCAAGCTGCAACTTGATCTTGCAGTGACATCCGGGTAGCACTCTGAAGTGTATTTATGCAAAACAAGATTCCACGTATGAAAGCCGCGAAAATATATCGAAATGTCAAATGCCTTTGCCCCCATCGCGGGCGGCACCCGAGGCCAGCACGGTAATGCTATTCGCCGCTATACGTTGCAAGCACAATCCCTACAAGCCACTACTATAGTAAAAACGCTATTCACATTAAACGACTCACGATAAAAGCTGGATCAAATCGGACGAGCATTTCGTTGTCTTGTCAGCTGGCAGGGCCAGCGGCTTTGGACGTCACATGATTGTCACCGTTCGGGCCCTTTCGCCGCCTCGTATTATGCACACGTTACGCGCGGGGCGCCGCAGACCGTGTGTCGTGGTCGCGGCGGGCGTGACATCAGGTTCAAATCCCATCAAATCAACATCCGAGCAACGCCTTGCAACTGGCCGCGTCCAACTAGATCACCAGACAAATGGCACGAGTACGTCCGGCGCCGCCCCCGGGCCGCCTACTTCATACTGGAGGCCACCTCTGGGCCAGGTCGCGCAGACGTCGGTGGCATCGCATCTGCGGAGCGCGCGCGCAATGTTCGCGTCGCGCCCGCATTATGGCCACGAACAAGCGCCGCCCGTTACAATGATCGCGTGGGGCTCGCCCCGAACCGGGGGGCCGCCAAGCTCGCACTACCGCTCGATCTACTGGCCACGCGGACACCGCGCGCACGCCTGCCTCTGGACCCGCCGCGTGCCAAGGCACTATGTACAGGGGCGCGGGCGGGTCCCGGCACGGCAGCGGCCGCCGGGGCGGGAGCGGGGGGAAAGGAGGGGGAGGGGCCCCAGGGAAGGGAGTCCCGCGGCATCACCGGACGGCGACCTCCTGACGCCGTCGGCAGGAAAGGCGGCTTCTCGCCGGCTCCTGGCGTCCGCGTGGAAGCCTCTGCAGCGGCTGTCTGCCAGCGCAGCGGTCTCGCGGCGCCAGCCTCGCGACAGGCGACTGCCTCAGAGTCCGAGGCGGCGGCGGCCGGGGAGAGTCGCTCGCGGCGGCCCTCCGTGAGATCGCGCGCCGCCGCCGCCGCCGGCCCCGGCCGGCCCATCACGACACGCTGGAGATGGCGTTGTGCGGCGAGCCCATCTGCGTGAGCACCTTGTCCAGCCACTGGAGCGGCCCGTGCAGATGGATCTCGATCCAGCAAGGCGTGGAGGTCACGTCCTGGCGGTGGTACTCGGCGCCCCAGCCCTTCACGAACGACATCCTGCAACGGCGCGCGGTGGCGGCGGTCACAGCTCAGTTACGCTCTTGGTGATAGAGTTGAGTCTTGCTCGCTCGCTCGCTCGCTCGCTCGCTCGCTCGCTCGCTCGCTCCCTCCCTCCCTCCCTCCCTCCCTCCCTCCCTCCCTCCCTCCCTCCCTCCCTCCCTCCGCACGCACGCACGCACGCACGCACCCGCACGCACGCACGCACGCACGCACGCACGCACGCACGCACGCACGCACGCACGCACGCACGCACTCACTCACTCACTCACTCACTCACTCACTCACTCACTCACTCACTCACTCACTCACTCACTCACTCACTCACTCACTCCACTCACTCACTCACTCACTCAATGCACACAAGACAATCCAACCGATTCGCAGCCATAAACATAACCAACTGCGACGAGAAACGCGGCATGCAAGACCACATAAAAGCACCATTTCTCATTGCCTACTCCCTGATAGCAATGAGTCTGTGTCAGATGTCCGCCCGTCCCCTCCCCTCCCCCCTCAGTCCCTCCCTCCCTGCCAGCCACCGAGCCACCCACCTGATGGTGCACATCTTGGTCAGCTCGAAGATGGCCTCGTAGCCGTGGTTGACGCTCTGCGAGAGCAGCTGGGCGAACTCCTGGTTGTTGAAGATCTTGAGACTGCAGCCGGCCGGGATCTTGCAGACGGTGGACGGGTGGAAGCCGTGGTGGTGGTTGCAGTTGCGGGACTGCACGAACACCGCCGAGTCGGAGAGACACTCGGCGTACACCTCGCCGCCCACGTAATACAGGTGCACGCCTGCCGACCACCCAGCCGACGGTCAGGTCACAGTCACGGTCTGGTCAAGGTGGGACGCGGCAAATCCGGCGCCCCGTCCACCTACCAAACTCTGCGCTGTAGTCGTCACGGCAAATCATGCGCATCTCGACCGGATCCCAGCACTTTCTATCAAATGCCCAGCACATGCTCTGGATCAACGAGACAAAACACGAATGGATGGCAGAACGCTCGCTGCCCGGCACCTCCACCACGCCCTCCCAGCCAGTGCGGGCGGGACGCCGGCCCGGCACCTGCACCACGCCCTCCCAGCTGGCGTGGGCGGGATGCCGGACCTCCGGCTCGATGGGCCTCAACCAGCTTACCTTTTCCGATGTGTTTGCGTGTGCTCTCGATGGTGGAGTTACGGTTGACGTTGGAGAGCTGGCCGAGGCAGAACCGGTCGGACTTGTTGTTGGGGTCGGTGAAGCCATCCACGATCACAGAGTTGACCGACGAGTGGAACACCTCGCCCACGCGGTTGTTCAGCTCGTAGTAGGCGATGCTGGACCAGAATTTTGGCTCCTGTGGGCGAGAACAACGCGCACTTAAATGCACTGCATAACATAAACACAACAGCTGCTCTGGCTCGCATAGTAGTGGTTATTAATACTAAGGGAGGGAGAGGGGGGAGGGCAGTGTGTGACCAAATGTAACTGGCCGTTCTGACTTGAACACATGCCAAGTGTGTCAACACATGTGAAGCATGGTGCAGTTATGACACCGATGCTATGCTGCTCGCCACACGTAATGCACGTAAATGTGCGGGCTTCGGGTAGCTAAGCGGCAGCGATGGCTGCCGTAAGCCATCCTAATATGATGGCGTCAAATAAGACGGGTAAAACTAAAGATAACACCCGGTCATTTCATAATGTCATTTTAATGCGCGCCGCAGTGAGCGGCCGTTCCGATGCATCCCCAAGCCGGCTTGGCTCGCTGCTGCTCCAGCCGTGAGCGGCGCGCCCTCACCTGGAATGTGATGGGCTGCAAGTCGCCGGCGGCCACCGCGCCGCCCGAGGTGTCCATGCGGTTGGCCGCGTCGCCGCCGGCCGCGCCGCCCTCGTCCAGCTGGCTGTAGGCCGGCGGCGGCGTGTCGGCCTGCAGGCCGAACGGCGACTGCGGCCCGGCGCCGACCGGACGCGGCGAGCCGGCCGAGCTGCGGCCCGGCCGACACGGCGCTCAGTGAGACGGCCGACGGACAGAGGACAGCGGCCCGGCCGACGCGGCAAACGGTGAGACGGCCGACGGACAGGGGACAGCGGCGCGGCCGACACGACAAACGGTGAGACGGCCGAAGGACAGAGGAGAGCGGCGCGGCCGACACGGAGCACAGTGAGACGGCCGACACACAGAGGACAGCGACACGGCCGACACGGGGCACAGTGAGGCGGCCGACACACAGAGTACAGCGACACGGCCGACACGGGGCACAGTGAGACGGCCGACACAGAGTACAGCGACACGGCCGACACGGCACGGAACGGTCGGGTTGGCCACAGCCACCCGCCGTCAGACAGAGAGCGGCCAGACATTGGACCGGCACACACACCATGGCACTAGTCACAAAGTGCAGACAGATGACAGTCCGGCATATCTGAGATAAAGAACACACCACCCAAGCAAAATAACGGGGGACTACCCACACCCAGGACACGGTAAACAGCAGGTGGCCACACAGCAGACAGGCAATAAGACAACAGACCAGACTGTGCAGATCGGCTTACAGGTCAGAAGGAACAATGGCCCACAGCAGGGTATACACGACCTCTTGGTTTTGACGCAATCATGCACCAACAGTGAGCTGGCTCCTCACCAGAGGTCAATGTAATCTCGGTCGAATGACATCCATATGAAGCATTTGGACATTTTCCAGCACAATACATTATATAGTCGTCACGCAAGAACAGGGCGTCAGTGCTCCGAAACCACCCTGCTGCTCACAGTGCTGCCGCACACCAGACCCACGGACGCCGCGGTGCGTCATTGGATGGCCTAGTGCCTCGCAACTGAGAGCCGCTCACCAGCTTTAGGATTGCTTTGACACATGTCTTTAGCAGGCTAACTCCATTTTTTTAGAATAGTGGTAAGGTTGTGATCCCTGTGTCCCCCTCTCCCCCTCCCCCCCTTCAACACCTCCTTTCCCAGGCGACACAGTACAAAAAATCCAGACGACACAAGTCTGGCCAAACCGCTGCCAAACTGTTTAGTCCATGCGTGCTGTCGCTGGCGGGTACGCACGAGATGGAGGAGAGCGGCGACGGCGCGCCGCTGGGCGGCGAGCCCGGCTGGCTGAAGCCCTGGCCGCTGAAGCTGACGTTGTGCGGCATCAGCGGCTCCGGCTGCTGCGGCTGGAAGTGCAGCAGCGAGTGGCCCGGCGCGAACTCGTTGTGGCGCGGCACCAGCACGGGCGGCAGCACTGTCGGCGGGGGACGGGAGCGAGTGGTAACGTCGGGGTCGGCCGGGCCGCCGGGCGGGGTCGTCGGCGTGACTAGACCGAGGCCACTACACCGCGGCACCAACGACGCGCAGGCCGCGAAACAGCGCGATGAGTTTCATTAAGTTGAATTCAATAGAACATGTAATGGGTATTTGAAAACCAAGTTATGCTTGCTGACAGCTTATAGAATATGGTCAATGTGTATAAAAGGGCAAACCCTCGCTACAAGCCGCTTTAACACCTAAAACAACAGCTCGCCTCCCTGTGATTCACACATCACGTGACCGGGATACTAACCGGGACTCTCCACGCGTTTGTAATGGTACGGATTGATGCAGACGTCCTTCTGCTTGGCCGTGAAGGGGTAGGCGCAGTCCTCGACCGGCTTCAGCTCGTGGTGCGACTGCAGGTCGGGCCAGCGCCAGACGCGGCAGTATATCACGTGCGGCAGGCCCTTGCGGTGCGACACCTGCGGCACGCCGGAGCCGGCGTTACATGCCCCGCATGCGAAGGCAGAACAGGCGTCACCATACGAAAAGATGCCAGGCACCGCAATATGCAGGATAGTAGCAATGCTGTATCACTGAAACCCATCACGAAGTGTGTGTGTGTCATTGGGGCTTTACGACGCACTCAGCTGCTGAGGCTATATGGCGTCGCCTGCCTCTCACCCTGGCAGGAAGGGCGGGCATCGCGGGGAATCGAACCCCGTACCTCTGGTTTCCCAGACGCGCAGTGGTTAACGCAGTCGTGTTAACTACGCAGTGGTTAACGCAGTCGTGCAACTACACTACCGGCCCCCCCCCTTCCGATCACGAAGTGCAAAGGCAATTAATGCGCCACTGGAACCAAACTGTGACCTTTTACTTCACTTCAGTAACAGAAGTAATTTACTACAGTAGCCTTGGGGCAAAAATTAAAACAGCTGGCAGAAAAGCCACATTTGCTTCTAAGTGCAGCTTGGTGCATTGGCACCAACTTTGTCCCCACGCCCAACAAGCTCGAACGATCGGAAGCTTTTCCCCAGCTCGCCGGCCCAGTCACGAAACGCCATAGCACGGCTGCCCGCGGTACAGGTCTCTTCTTGCCTTCGGAGAAGCGCCTCGTCGACAGTGGGGCGCGAAACCACGGCATGTCACCTCTACTCCACTTGTCACACTTCCAGGGACCTGTGGCGTTCTCTACATCTCACCTCGACGGCTTAGTGTCTGAGTACGGGCGCCTATCATGGGCGCAGCTTCCCCAGCTCACATCGCTTGCTCACCTGCAGACGGCCGTCTAGGCTGCGCGGGATGGTGACGCAGTTGGTGCGCTCGCCGGGACGGCTCAGCGCGTTCTCCAGGTCCTCCAGCGCGCCCTTGGTCTTTTTCAGCTTCTTGACCAGTGCATCCACTGCCTTCTCTGCCCATTTCTCCTCCTCATCACCCTGCTTCCATCCCAACAGCTTTTTCACGGCTGGACTGGTGAACGTGAACAGGCTGTTCAGCCCTGCCATTGCGCTGGTTACCTGTCAACAGTGACTGGTTGTCAAACCAGTGACACAAAACATCAAACAACTTACAGGATTGAACCTGCAGCCTTGTATACACATTGCTGGCTGTTTTGCTGAGCAAGATCAATACCAACTAGAATCTTAGATCAAACATGCATGGTTTGCATCTGAAAACAGAATGGCAATAGAAATATTTGGGTTGAATGTTCAGCAAGCATACCATTTAAATGATTCAATAATTTAACCATTAAAGGATTAAAATAAAGATTTAACAATAGTCAATGCAATGAATAACATAATTCAATACCAAAAAATAGTTTAATCATCATCTTTATCATGCAAACTGTCTCAGCCTCCATTAGTTTGTTTTGTACCAGATATTATGTACTGGTAACTTTTGCATTCCACAACATGCAAGCAGAAGGGGATTACCAAGATTGTGTGACCTATATCAACTATCAACTAATGAGGTACATTTTCATAAAATCCTTGTGTATAAAATACTGGTCTTTGAGCACAGAGAATGGCCATGCCAATTGATTAAATGAGTAGCATTTCCTGTGTTCTATTTGTCTGGCATATGTGATTAACAGATCATTCATTATAGCAAATCTGATCATAAATAGTAAAAAAAAATCAACCTCATCCTCAGACCACATCAGCTACAAGCAGGTATATGTACCTGTTAGGTGTTTGTACAAAAGGACAACCATGCACACATTGGATCAACCAGAGGATCTTATGTATTATTTTGTTTTGCAATGCCTGAGTGATGTGAATCAAATCAATGGCATTGTGATCTGGGTACAACAAAATTATAACTACAGCACAATCACTTCTCAAAGCATTCATACCTCATGTCATGGCCAAAACTTTATGGAATTATTAGAGCATAAGAGAAAGTTCCTGGGCAACAAAGAGCCAACAAACAAATAAGGGAAGTGTGCTAAGTACTATTATACTATTACACTATATACTATTACACCCTCTACACATTATTCAAAGTGCAGCTTAAAACTAGCACCTGATGCTTGGGTGCTTCTCAGAACTCCCAGAGATAGGGATACTTTGTCTCCTTAAATATGAACAGGAAAAGCAACATAGTATTGGCTTTGTTTCATCCTGCAAAAAAGCACACACTGCATCATCTAAGCTTGTACCTGATCTTAAACCCAAATTAGCAGGCTGAACTTTGCACACATGTAGCCATCTCAGTCCTGGCTTCATTGCAATGCATAACCAAGCAGTTAACTTCCTTGAAATTATGATTCCATCCAAAACATTTTAAAAGTGTTCCAAGTTGCATGCAGACAGATTTACACCATATATGTACTGAATTTTTGGGTTCAATTTCACTGTCACCCTACATACCTATACTCCATGCAACATGCATTTCCTCCTTATATGTGTTTGGGCCATGGGAAGCTTGGTTGATCAATTATGAAAACAGCACTGCATGACATGATTATTTTTAACTGTTAGGTGTGATGGCAGAAATTATTTGAAGTTTTCATTGGGGACATCACATTGGGTACATGCTTGCATCCCGATTTGTGGTCATTTTCAGATTTAGCTCTGATGCACAAAGAACAAAACCTATGAGGGCGACGTTGTGCAAAAAATTGCTAGTTATACCCAACAATGATGCACACGCCTGCAAAATACACACATGCTAAGCATTGCAAGGGATAGAAGCGCCCATAAAGGTGCGCTGAAGACCCCAGCACTGCTAAGCCCTAACAAAATCAAAACCATTCACAAGGATGTCGGACACTATAGCATCAAGGATGACAAGTGAATAATCAGCCAACAACCAGATTAGTAGAACCACATGCTTAATCACTTTGAAAACAGCTCTTGTCCTTAATTACCTTCCTAAATACGCATCGGCCAGGCAGTACCGCCCGCGGTACGAGCGGTACGAGCTGTAAACAATCAAAACTGTTTGGAATCGGGCACCAAAGTGGGGCGTTTGCGGCGAATATTTAATATATCATGCTACTAAATACAAAGGTCTAGATTACACAGCAGCGAACACTCCTGCAGCGTGTAGGTGTTTTCCAAGCCGATTGATACTATATTTAAGGCTGAGATTATATTTTCGATGCATTTCAATGAAGGGTTGATCGATCATGCAATCCTGAAGTGACGTAACGTTTAACTTACCTTACCTTACCTTATGGTGATTGGGAATTATAAAAGGCCACTAGGCCTGTATGCTCCGGTCTTGTCAGGCTCCCGGTACGGTAGCCGAACAGACTCAAATTATGGAAAGATTTGGTGTGGGACGTCATACATGATGTCAGCCCAGTACATATTAAGCCCAGAATTGAACTGTTCATCTGAGGTTGACGACAAGACCGGGTGTGGAAGGGCGTTCCAATCGTTGACGGCCCGCGTTACGACGGAAGGGAGCCCTAGGTCGAGGTTTTCTGCGCTTCCATTGGTGTCCTCTTGTCACCTCCGAATTGTGCCTTGTCAAGAACTCCTCTTCCGACAGCAGCATACCTCCGTGAAACAGCTGGTACACTGTTACCATGTCTCCCCTACGACGACGGTAATACAGCCAAGGCAACTGAAGGAGTCCGCAGGTTTGTGTACGTAACAGAGTTTGTATACAGGGTGTTCTCGGAAATCGATAGGAGAGATGGTGCAGCAGAAAGCGTCTGGGCTTTTGGGAGGCCTCGGTCAACGGCATATCTGGCTTACGCTCAGAAATAAGCATACGCAAACCATCGCCTTTACTAAGCTCGCCCGCACTGGTGTGCAATACCTTCAGACCTTGCCTACCCCTGCACTGAGGAGCATTATGTAGTCATTTTAAACCTCCGCAGCCAGCATCAGCTTGAGCCTGAGAATGTTGATCCATGGATCCACCCTGAGATCCTGAGTGACAGTTTTAACTTATCCAACCACGCATGCGAATTTGCACGCCATCGATTATCCGCGGGGCGGCGATGCAGGCTGACGACCGACGGCGGGGGGATGAGAAGAATTGGAGCGGACAGGAAGCATTCTAAGCCGCTCCCCCACCTAGAGTGACAGCTTTGTGTCGTTTCGCACTTACCAGCGGTAGCTACAGCCGGGAGCCAGATGGACGCAATTTGAATTAATGCGTGCTATTTCTAGTCACCGTATCCCACCAGGCAAATTGTTAACTCGGATGCCAGGGTCATTCTAGCAAAGACTAGTAAATGCAGCCAGTATATTCACCGGAACAAACCGTACCCGAATGGCTGACGCTGGCGCAAGCGTTTCCGATTGTTAGTATTTGTCCAATGAGTGGGGACTGACCGGACCGTCACCGGACGCAAAAAAAAAAACACGCATCACGCAGTGCGAAAGGGCAGTAAAGCGACGGATCTCAGTAATGGGCTCCACCATGCCACGCATGTAGAGTACACATCCTGCACTGAGCGTACCGGTTGAAGGGACGCCTTGCGACTCGCCCGCCAGTTGATGCAATGGTAACGGTCCCATGGTAACAGCACCCGTCCCTGGAGGCAAATAATGAACAGGCTTGTCCACCGGCGCGTCCGGTACATGAGACTAAGCACAGAAGAAATCAGGATCACCGAATTCCACATACGAAATCTCACGGCGCCTAGCCAGGAACGGAGCGTGCCCGCCGGCACTATAATGAACACGCGTTCTGTGCTGGAGTATGACAATGTTTTTCATCATGCACGCATTGCTGGCGTAATGAGATTCTCTGCAGCGCTGGGCCATCACGCGACGGGTGCTGGCAGCACATCAGTTCGCACTGCACAAAACACGACGCTTTTTTGTGGGCGCGTGCTTTGTCTGCATACGATTGTGATATCCGACGGAGGACGGCCGGCTTTGTACTGGCCTTAACAGTAACGCACCACCACACGACAGACTATCCCGCAACACACCATCGGCATGAGCCAACCAAATGCGTGCCATCCCCAATGAGCTAAAGGATCGACGACACACTAAGCCAAACGTCCAATGTGCATGCGTCGAACCAACTGTTACAAAGCACAGAACATAATCGGAGACTTTTGGGCTGGTTCTACCAATAAGCTCGAATATAAAACATTAAAATCTTACACCTTTGTCTACAAATAGGTAATATCCAGACAGGGTCAGGGCAAGCTCGCACAAAAGCACCATGTAACAAGCCCGCACTGCGCAGCGGCGCGCCACAGCGCGATCAGAGGACACGAGCAGAGTGCTCCACCAAAACAACACACCGTAGAACATATTTGGTGGTCGTCCAAACCGGGCGCATCACTAGTCGACGACAACCGCTGACGACTTCCTCTTGGTGAGATCTTGAAGGCCGGGCCGCGGCCAAATCACCCCATAGCGTCCAACTGCGCGCGGCCCTAGCGAAGCTGCAGAGCGGTACAGAGACGCTCGCCTCTTCGCCTCCCACGGAGAGCAGCGAGCCGGAGACCAGCGAGCCCGCCTCCGCTTGCGTCTGCACCCTGCGGACGGAGCGTGGGCGCTGGTGTTATCACCACCAGCCAGGACCTCCACCTTCGGACCATGTCCATGCCGTGACGCCCCGCGCGTGTCGCAAGCGTGGACCCGGCCGCTGGTGCCCCTCGCCGTCTTGGATTTTATTCGGCGTGCTGTGCTCACAGCGCACACAACGCTAGCTGACTATTATGACATCTTTCGCAGGATTAGGTGCATCGAGATGATTTTTTAAATATGTGGAATGTTGGGCTGAAAGCTGATCAGCAATTAATTATGACGGGTGTTCAGCCGTCAGTTTAAATTCAAATCTTTCTCGGTGCCTTTTTGCAACGTATGCATATGCCGGTATGCAGTCTACAAAAGTGAGTTTTTGCAGACTTAGTACTGTTAACTACAAATCCTGCATATTCGTGGTCTTATATATTTTCATAGATACTAATAATCCAGCCACCATAGACGTGAGGAGCACGATATCCCAAAAATAGCAGCCAATTAGTTGTAACGAGCTGCCGGCCATACTGTGGCAACATCGCAACCGACGCGTGTTCACCGACACCCCCCCGGTCAGCGCGTGCCGAGAGCGCCAGCTCAGCACTCACCAGTGCGCATCACTGGAGCGCCGCCGGCTGGGGGATGATGAGCTTGGTGCGGGGCACCGTGACGACGCTGTTGTCGGTGAACCTCACCTGCGCACGAAAGGAGCGTGGTGCCGTCAGCCGGCGCCCCTGGGCAGTGCGAGACTGCCGCCACACGGCACGAGACGGCACCACGTCAGGGCACACGGCACGAGACCGCTCCAGACCAAGGCACACGCCGTTACACGCTGGGCAGCGTGGGACCGCCGCCACACGGCACGAGACGGCACCACACCGGAGCACACGGCACGAGACAGCACCACACCAGGGCACACGGCACGAGACGGCGCCACACCGGAGCCTACAGCACGAGACCACACCAGGGCACACGGCACGAGACAGCACCACACCAGGGCACACGGCACGAGACGGCGCCACACCGGAGCCTACAGCACGGGACGGCGCCACACCAGGGCACACGGCACGAGACGGCGCCACACCAGGGCACACGGCACGAGACGGCGCCACACCGGAGCCTACAGTACGAGACGGCGCCACACCAGGGCACACGGCACGAGACGGCGGCACACCAGGGCACACGGCACCAGACGGCGCCACACCAGGGCACACGGCACGAGACGGCGCCACACCGAGCCATACAGCACGGATCGGCGCCACACCTGGGCACACGGCACGAGACGGCGCCACACCAGGGCACACGCGGTCACAGCCAGCCATGTAGCCAACTTATGGGCGCGACCGCGTAAGGAGTCTGCGCACGGAGGCAATACAGTTAATCGTCCGAGTATTTGATGTGTGCTTTGTGTACATCTTCAATAATGTGTCCTGCGGCAGATACGCTATCTCATAATCGATACTTTTTCGGAGGCTTCAAAGGAATAATGCATACTCATTAATGTGCAATCACTGTTCAAGATTTACAATGCAATCACTCAAGGATTTCGCCCGCGTACCTGCAGCTGTGCTACTATTTTATGTTGAAATGATGTATGCCTGTATTGTACATATGCAAATCACACCACTGACGTGGGAACATTTCGACCCCGGTTTCCAACAAACAGCGTGTTACCCCGGACTGTACACGATGCTTCGGTGAAAAAAAGCATTGGGATGGTGCAAGCACAATCAAAGTTCATGAAATTTGCTGAGGAAGATGGAAGCGGATTGATTACCCTGTACCGCCCAAAATGTTGCATTTTAGTGTTTCCAGCCGGCTTCGGGCGCCTCCGGTCTAATGTGGAGAGCACACATCGGCGAAAGAGCAACGCTCCTCCAAAGACACAACACACCATCCATGGACGAAACCAGAATCCATATAATGATGATGATTTGAGATTTTAGGGCGCGTCGCCATCAAATGTCACATCGCGCCCATAACGGCTGTCTAGGGCTGTGTTGTTTTAAATAGCAAGGAGCAAATACAGCTGAAAACTTGATGCCTGGTAGAAATAGAAACAAGTGACCCGAGTGTAACAATGACTCGTCTCCCAACATGTCGCGATAACTCAAACATGACGCTTGCCGTCCAAAATGACGCCAGCGTTCTTCCTTGAAAGGTGAACAGGAAAGTGGAAGGTGAAAGGTGAACCCATAGTCAACTGTCAACGATGCATCACATTTGGGGCATTTGTCTCACGCCACCAGACAGAAGGTAGCCGCGTGCCACGTAAGCATGGCCAATTCGCAGACGGCACAGAGCGACTTCTTCACACCTGGCCGCTGGCGAGCAGGGAGACCAGAGGCCCAACAGTTACTTTATCATCTTGAGCCTGTTGTTGCTTTCGTCGTCACAGCAGCGTTGTCATTTTCTTTTTAAATAAGCTGTGATGGCTGGATAGAAATTCCTACGTGCGAGAAGAAAAGAACACGTGCAAGCCGCACAAGTGATCCTTTTGCGGTGGCGTTGGCAAGCTCGTTGTCCGTTATCCTGACATGGCTTGGAATCCAGCATAGCACTAGTTTCGCTCATGCCGACCAACCTTGTCAAGCGAGTCAAAATGTACCGTAAAAAGGACACTGAGGGTAAAATGTTTGAGAGCCATGAGGCCGCTGGGGGAGTCAAATAAGATCAAGTGTCGGTTGTCAGCAGTGACTTCAATATAGCAAAGTGCTTTAATAGTGGCAACAAGCTCTGCAGCACACACAGAGGCGTGTTCTGGCGGCGAGAACGAACGAGTGGCAGGACCAACACACACGAACGCAGGGGTCAACGTCTGATTCGGTCTCGGATCCGTCTGTAAAGGTCGTCACATACCCTTCATAGGAAGAGATAAGCTCAAACGTCCCAACCCTAGAGCCGCACGCGATAACCTCCCGTTTTTTATCTGTTTTAATGAAAGACCGACACTTAGAGCGCACAGTTCCCCAGGAGTGTTCTCAGTTGGTTGAACGTCATCAGTATAGCCTGTGCGAGTCAACGGAGCATATCATTATGAATGAGATCCGGACCTTCCGCCACGCTGCGCAAAGAGTTAATGGCTGTCATCAGTTCAAGCACGTGTGTCATGTCATTGGGGCTTTACGACGCACTCAGCTGCTGAGGCTATATGGCGTCGCCTACCTCTCATCCTGGCAGGAAGAGCGGGCACGCGGGGAATCGAACCCCGTACCTCTAGTTTCCCAGACGCGCAGTGGTTAACGCAGATGCGTTAAACATTGAGCCATTAACCATAACGCAGTTGCGTTAACCACTACACTACCAGCACCCCCCAGTTCAAGCATCGTGAAAGGTTTGTTAGATGAGAGCTCCTCAGTTATATGAAAGTTTATCTGAGCTGCGTAAGGCACCGGACGTGTGCGGCACGCTCTCTTCTGCCGATCGTTAGACTTGTGGAGGCAAGCTCCTCCACCGATGCAGGCCCATCCATCCAAACGGGAGTCAACCTGGCCTCTACCCGTGCCTATAAATCCCCCCCCCCCCCCGTTAGCCTTTTTAAGATCCCACCGCTGTGCCCTAGACACGAAAGCTGCTACGTTCTGGAAACGCACGCAAATGGGGGTAGTCATCACTATCAAAGGAGCCGTTTTCAACCGACCATGCCTGATTTACCGCTAGTTAAGGGCTTGCAAAACTCAAGTCCAACGTCGATGTCTGACCACAGGGAGGAGACACGTGATTTCGGGTCCCCGTGTTTAAAACACAGGGTGATACATCATGTAAAAATGTTTCACAGTGCCTGCCGCGAGTGTTGGCCTGGGCGCAGTCCCAAGAGGTGTGGCGAGCATTGAGGTCACCCAACAAAAGAAGAGCCGGGAAAGCTCAGCCACCAGAGGTTTTTTTTGGGGGGGGGGGACATCTACGGTCATTTGGCGCTCATCATGTGCCGTTTACCGCATCACAGCTCAAACACCGCCAGTCAGTACAACTTCATACACACGGCATCTGTAACACAAATCCGTTTGCTGCACGCCGTAAGGCAACCCCCTCCCCAATGGCTCCTCTAAGCATGCGTTGTCGCAAGAATGAAGAATGAATATATGTATCGCTGTCCATCGCATCGTAGCAATCATGGTAAGCGCATCCCCTTGTGGCAATTGCTTGCAAGCAATCACCTGCCTGTTTCGGAGGTGCCGTTCGCAGAGTCGAGCGCAATGCAGGAAACCCCAGCGTGCCCCTGACACAAACCCTGCATGTACTCACACGCGCGTATCAGCGTACCTGGCACTGCTCGACGCGGCGGTGTCCGCGGAATGTGCCCAGCGTCACGTTCTCGCCTTCGGCCGACGGTAGCCGCACGTACAGCCGGCTGCCCACCTCCGGCACGCCCTCCAGCGGCCCCTCCAGGCCCTGGCGGCGCCGGTCACCGGTCATCGGTCATCTGTCATCTGCCATCGGTCATCGATCACTGGTCACCGGTCACCGATTACGGCTGACCGCCGCTCAGGGGCACACCAGGGGGGTGAGAGGGGGGGGGGCATGATTCGCTGCAGCACGACCCGCCTTGATATCACCGTCGACATACTGTAAGGAGTATAGAATACGACATCCAGACTGTCCGACTGCACCTGCACCCCGCGTCAATCATACACCATGAATACAAGCACCACTCACTTTAACGGTGGCTGACTGCAGTAACCATGGCAAGTGAACCTTTGCCACCGTCACGATGTATCACGCCACTCGCGCCGCGACCCCCAGTGACACGCCCACCGTCCAGGAGAGGCACCGTCCGGGGCACCGCTCTGCCGTCGGGCGGCGAGCCGTACCAGGACGTCGTGCGGCGCCACGTCGCGGTGAGTCGAATCGTCGTCCAGCGTCACGGTGAACAGCGCGTGGACGGTGACGGCGGTGACGTGCGCCAGCTGGTACGTGCCGTCGGCGTGTCGGCTGATCACGCGGTTCCCTGGGGCGGGCGCCGGTCGGCCCGCCGGCTCCGTCTGTCGGTCGAGGCGTGGTGGCGGCTCAGGGGAGGCCGGCACGCAGGGCGGGCCGACACGGCCGGCGTGGCAGGCCATCAACGGCAGTCGCCCGTCCAGCCACCGCACCCCGCTTCCACGCTTACAGCAAACCGTCTCGCGATTCAACGCGACTTCAGACAGCTAACGAGTAATAAATGTATGTGAGGTAGGTTGCGACATTTTCAGGCAGACCACCCGCCTGAGGAGAATCCATATTCCAGAGCACCACTGACCTTCTCTCGAGGGTCTGGCCGTCGCCCGTTCTGCTGCTGCCGACCAGCTTCCGGCTGCGGACTGGGCACGGGCCGACGCTGCGGACTCGACGCAGCCTGAGGCGACGCCCGAGCCTGCGGCGCTGCGGCAGTCAGTGGAGCGCCAGTCTGCGCCTGCGCGCTCGTGACCCCTCGCGCTTGTGAACCTGCGGCGAATGGTGACGCGCTCGTCGGCTGCTGACGCGTCACCGCGCGAGCCGCGCTCCGCGGTGGTTGGCTAGCGATGACCTGTGACGCAGCCACCGGCTGCATCTTCAGGGCGAGCCGCGCCGCGACCGGCTGAAGCGGCGCGTCCTGGGTGGGCTGCGCCACGGTCAGAGACTGCGCGCTCTGGATAGGCCGCGCCACAGTCAGAGGTTGCGCGCTTTGGATGGGCTGCGCCACGGTCAGAGGCTGCACGCTCTGGACGGGCAGCGCCACGGCCAGAGCCTGCGGACTCTGTAGACCACGCGATGCGCCCCCAGCCTGGTGGTTTTGAACAGGCTGCCAAGCGTTCCGCGCCGGCGAAGCGGAGTCGCACTCCACAACGCCCAAAGAGAACAGCTTTGGCATGTGACAGCGCGCGTTCGCCAACGGTGGCGGGTCGGCAGCGGAACGGGCCGAGCCGGGCCGCTGCTGGGCTGTTGCTGTCGCGGACTGCGCCGGCCGGCTCTGCGCAGGCAGGCCGGCCCGTCTCGGAAGCAGCGACGGGCCGGCGCCGGGCTGCCGCTGCGCCGCCACACTCTGCGGACCGCGGCTGAGCGGTGGCGGAGGCCGCGGCGGACTGAGGCCGGTGGTGGGCGGCGCCGGTGCCGGCGTAGGCTCGCCGCTCGCCCGTGCTGACGGGCTGTGATTTGAACGCTGTGGTGATGGTGGATATTGGTGCCGCCGCACCGACGGCTGATGACTGCACTGCCGCACAGACGGTTGATGGTGGCGCTGTTGTACAAATGGTTGACCACCAGCCTGCTGTACCGTCGGCTGATGACCCTGGCTGGGCTGACTGCTGCGTCGCCCCGTGCAGGTTGGATTGTTGTACTGTTAGCCGCTCTCTGCACTGTTCTACGGACGGCTGGCGGCAGGGCTGCCGCGGCGCCGGCCACTGGTGGCCGGGAAGCCGTGGCGTCGTCCGATCACCGGCCGCCGGCCCCGAACCGAACCAGTCCCGGCCGGTGCTCACTTCCAGCACCGGTACACCGGCGCAGGCCGCCGCCGCCACCGCGTCCACCGGCTCTGGCTCCGTCTTCACCTCCACCTCGTGCACCGTCGCCGAAAGGCCTGGCTCGCTCTTGACATACCCCCGGACGGTCTGGGCGAGTTCCGACAGGCCCGGCTCGGTCTTGATGGCCCCGGGCGCGCCCGGCTCAGTCTTCACCGTCAGCGCGTGCGCGGCTGCAGGCAGGCCGGACCGGCCGCTGGCCCCTGCGGGCCGCGGGCGGGCCGGTGACGCCGCGTCCGTTGGCACGGCGCGCCTCCGGCCCGGCGAGACGGCCGCGCGCTGCCGGCCGGGTGGCCGCGCCGGCGCCCCTCCCGCGGGCGGCGCCGAGGCGTGGCACACGGCCGCCAGGAAGTCGACCGCGCTGCCGGACGGACTGATGGGCCGCAGGCGCGCCGCCGGCCCCGCAGCGCCAGCCGGCGCTCCGGCTGCCGCGCCGGTCGCAGCCGGTGACCGTGCCGCCACGCCGGAGCCCGGCCACGGGGGTGCCGACCCGGCGGCACCAGGCCGAGGTACCTGGCCGGCGTCTGATGGTCGGACGTGGGCACCAATGGCGAACGGCCGAACCGCCGAGCCAAGGCCTGACGACAGCATCACCGCGTTGACACCCGGTGGTAACACCACGGTGGCGACTGACAGTGGTTGGCCTGCCGTCCTCCCTGCTGACAATGGCTGAGCTGCTATCCTCCCGACTGAATATGGCTGGCCTGTTACCCTCATGGTTATGGGGTGAGCTGCTGTCCTCCCAGCTGATGCTGGTTGAGCTGCTGTCTTCACTGCCGACGATGACTGAGCTACTGTCCTCATGGATGACACTGGCTGCCCTGCTGTCCCCACGGCTATGGGATGGACTGCTGTCCTCCCAGCTGACACTACCTGGGCTGCTGTCGTTTCGGCAGACACCGGATGGGCTGCTGTCCTCCCAGCTATTCCCGGCTGGACTGCTGTCCTCCCAGCTATCCCCGGCCGGGCTGCTGTCCCCGCCACCGGCTGCAGGGCGTCGGCCCCAGGCGGGGCGGTAACATAGGTGGCGACCAGCCGCGCCCTGCCAGCCGCCAGTAGAGCCGCCGGCGACGCCGACCGGGCCGTCTGCATCTCACAGAGCAGACGCGCCTGCCGCGCCGTGATCACCTGCACCGGCGGCGGCGGTGCCTGCGCGGCCGGCGAGCTCGGCTGGGCCGGCTGCGTCTCACATAGCCGCCGCGCCTGCCTCGCTGTGATCTCCTGCACCTGCAGCGGCGTCACCGGCGGCGACGGCTGGGCGGGCGCCTTCGCTGCTTCTCCCGCCGTGCCGCCGCGCAGGCGGGAGAAGGCGGCGGCAACGTCGGACACGTACGCTGGACGTGACCGGGCGCTGCGCGGCCTGCTGCTGCTGCTGCTGCTGCTGCTCCTGCCTCAGGCGGCCGGCGAACGCCGGCAGGTGGCGGCGGGCGTGCGCGCTCAGACGCGGCCTGGCGGGGTCTGTTAACCGCGTGGTCCCAGCGGACACGGCCGCGCCGCCGCCAGGCGCCGACACAGCGCGCCCGCCCCGGCCCGCAGGGCGCCGGGGCAGCGTCGCGGACGCGCGCCGCGAGTGCGTACCGCTCACCCTGCGCCGCCGCCGGGCGAGCCGCAGCGCCCGGCAGCGGAGGCAAGTCTTCCGGTGTCTCCCGGCGGCTCTCTCGGCTCGGCGTCGGCGACAGTCGGCTGGCGGGGGACGGCCGTACGCCCGGCGGGGACGTCAGGTCGCCGGCGCTCGCGCCTCCACAGACCGGAGCGGGCCGCCCGGTAGTCAGCGGCCCGACGGCATCCAGGGAGGCTCGTGCGGTGGCGAGCGCGCGCTCGCCGCTGGTCAGGATGCTCTGTCCATCGTTACAGGCATGCACAAAGCTGACCACGCCGTCCTGCCTATTGGTCTCACTGTCTCCTCTGTCGGTCGCACTGTCCTGCCCGGTGGCCAGGCTGCCCTGTTCACCGATTAGACTGTCCTGTTCGTTGGCCAGGCTGTCCTGTCGTTTGTCCAGCGTCGCTTGATCACTGGACGGTGTCGTTTCTCCACCGCTGCCAGGCGTCACCGTGGCCGGGCCGCTGACGGCGGGGGCGCCCTCGTCGCCGGCGGTGATCGTGGCCCCGCCGGACCCGGACCCGGACCCACCGTGCTGCAGCGCGGCGCCGCCCGGCTGCGCCTTGGCCGCCGCGCTCTGGTTCCGCTGGCACTCCTTCAGCATGGTGGTCAGCATGCTGCGGATGGTCGGCGAGACCCGCGGCTGCCCCAGCAGGCGCAGCACGCGGCCTTGGCGCAGCTCCGGGTTCCTGCGGCACCCTATCAGCTCGCGCAGCTCGCGCAGCGGGCCGAAGATGAGCCGGTGCTTCTTGGAGGGCAGCGTCGGCGGCCGGGGTGCGGCGCCGGGGTCCGCGGCGCCGCCCGGCGGGCGCGAGGACGTCGTGGCGCTCTGGCTGCACAGGGAGCCGGAGAGAGCGGGTGCCGCGGCTGCTTGGCTGCCGCCAGGGACACAGCCGACGGAGGCCGCCGGGATACCAGCCTCTGGGAAATGCACCGACTCCGAAATATTCTGAGGCGGCGCAAGTGGCGTGGCCTCAAATGGGGCGGACGCCGTGGCATCGCACAGTGACGACGTCGCGCCCTCAGCAGGCGCCGCCTCCACGGCAACCGGGGGAACAGAGGCCGTGGCCTGAGGTGACGCAGACGCCACGGCCTCGTACCGTGCAGCTGTCGGAACCTGGAGAAAAGTCGGGACACTCGCAACTGTCGGGGTAGTGCTCGGCACTGAACAGGCCTCGGAAGACATCGTCATCCCGGTCTCGGACCCGGCACCCGCACTTGCGGTTTGCGGGGAGATGTCTGACTCAGAGGCCACCTGGAGAGCAGACGATGCCTCGTCACAAGGGAGAGCTGGTGCTGCGGTGTCCGAGGGGGCAGCCCGACCCGTTTGATCCTCGGCAGCAGCGGCAGCGGCACTCTGAGCTTCGGCCGCGGCGGCAGGCCGGGCCGAGGGGCCGGCCGCCTGCACCGCCCCGCTCGCCGCCGACCCTGCCTCGCTCCACGGCGTCGTCGCGGTCGGCAGCGCGTGGGGCGCGGCCGGGGGCGCCTCGCGACCGCCCGCGTCCGCCTCCGTCCGCCGCGAGCGCGCCTCCCATGCGTCCAGCGTGCTGTTCTCGGTCATCCAGCGCACGATGCGAGCGATGAGCGCCTCCTCCCGCTGGCGCACCTCCTCGTCGCTCGGCGGCGGCATCGACGTCCGCCCGTCGGCAGGCTTCCTCCCCCGCGGGTGCCGGCTCTGGGTCGGCCGCGCTTGCTCGGGCCTCTTCTGGTCCGCAACGGCCGTCGGCTCCTCCTTCACGTGCACCTCCCCCATGGCGGCCCCTTCCGCCCGCACAGACATCTCTCCTCCATCAGATGTCTCCGCTTTGAATGACGTCTCTTCCTTCACGCCCGCCGCTTGTGCTGGCATGTCAGGCGGCTTGGTTTTCACAATTTTCGCTCGCTTCGCCGGTCGTCTAGCCTCGCCCGTGCGTGGCTCCGCCTTAGCCGGATCGGCTGCTGAGCCTTCTGCTTTCACAAGGGGAGGCTCCACGTGTTCACGTTTGGGACGCCGGCCCCGCTTACGCTTGACCTGCGTCGCCGCCTCGCCGCGAGCGGCCTCGGGCTTCACTGAGTCCGTCTGTTTGCGGTCGTCTCCTTCACCTTCTGACAACTCTGCCGCGCCCCGGCCGCCCGTCTTCCTCCCCTTGCAGCATCTGCCTCCGGCCAGGCGCTTCCGCCCCCCCTTTTTGTGTTTCCGTTTCCGTTTCCTGACGCCGCGGCTGGTGTAGTCGCCGTCTGAGTCGGAGGCCGGCAGGCGCGAGCAGTGCCGCGGGTCCAGGAACATCTCCACGTCCTCGTCGTCTGTAAGAAGCAGCAGGTGAGATCACACAATACTGTGCGGCAGGAGACACCTCCAAGTCAACAGCCGTTTCGGTACCCACACGCTCATCTGGCCGGAAAGTCGAACCAACTACAATTCCACCAATAGCATACCCAAACGAACACTACGGCGTCATGAATGCCATCGTCAAGTTGAAGCACAAAGAGCCGGTTGAAGATATAATAGCGTCGCCTTATCACCCGTACTGCGGCGATTATAAGCTCCCAGGTGATTGCCAACAACTGGATGGCCTATGAGGGTGGCGGCGTGGCCCTACAGCTGCTGATGGCGCACAGGGCTAGTTATTATCATGGACCAAGTCTAACTCCCGCCACGATTCACTGCATTGAAATGTTTTGAACAGTGTATATCCTTATCAAAGCCAGGTATTACGAACTGTCATGTAACTTATGGCAAAAATACTTACGTGACAAAGTCTCGTGCGCAAACGATTTGGCAGCAGGTGGCAAAAGAAAACTTAAAATTGATAACAAGCGATGGAAATGAAAAAAAAAATGAAGAAATGATCGTGGTAAGAAAAGAGCGCTATGGAATATACCAGTGAAAAGCGGTCATTTCAAATGATAAGTGGGCCTTTCAAAAAAAAAATGAAAAAACTCTGCAGCTGAAGCCGGAAACGTATAATCTTATCTCGGACGCGTACGTTTCGAACTCTCCGCCAGGTCCACCAAACTACTACACACCGAGCACTACCCCAAAACGGAGTATTTCCCAATTCAGACCTATGCTGATCACGCAGGGACCAAACGTCAGCGCCTATTCTTCAGCACCGAAGACGCGGAACCGAAAGGCCCAGTGCACGTCCTGCAGCGCCCGCCCGCCGGGCTCACCCGTCTCGCCGGCCTTGGAGTAGAGCTCACGCAGCGCCACGATCTGCTCGAAGTCTGGCTG